CTAACTTTCTGGGAATTTCAAACAAAACACTTTATTTAATCTAGAAGGGATGGTTATTCTTTTTTCCATTGTTTTTCTCTAGTGATGTCTTGTTCTTATTTAGTACTGCTCAGTTATTAATTCCTCTTTTCCACAGAGTTTAAGGTCTGCACTACCTGGTCCAGAAATGAACCTAATGGATTATAACATTGAATTAGGTCACATAGTAATTGTAAGTTCATTTAAAAAAAAAAAAAAAAAAAGAGTTCAGTTCCTTGAATCAAAAAGCACATGAAGAAGTGCAGAGAGCACAACAGCTTAATATAAATGTAAATAATTATTTTTCCGTCTAGACTGGCTGCCACCCAACACTGATAATTCATAGCTGGAGAAAGAGAAAAGATGAATTAATGCCTTTTCCAAGAGTATTAGTACAAAGTGAACTTCTCAAGACTATATGGATACATGTGTGTGTATGTTTATTTATATATATATGAAAACACCTACTTAAGATAGGATTTAAAATCAATACACTTAATTTATATAATGGCTTGAGTTAAACAAATCATTTAAAATTAGAAATTAGGTGAGTAAGTGTGCAATCCATACAAATCAATGTCACTGAAATTTTTTTTTTTCACACAAGGAGAAAATTACTTACTGTAAATGATTGGCAAATAATAAAAAGTACTAGAAATTATTTGCAATACATCCAATTCAGAAAAAAAAGCTTACTGAATTGCCATGGTTTCTTGGGAAAGATATTGGAGGGATTTCCTGTTATGTTCTTCATTATGTTGAATTCTGAGTAGTACTTCTACATTGGTTGGCACCAAGGCTATCGAGTCCAGTCAACCCTGTTATTTAACCTGTCACTGGGAAGAGAAGAGAAGGATCCATGCCTTTGCTGAAACCATTGCTGTACAGTGAACATAATAGATTCAGATGGCTTTTCAAAAGTCTATATTTCAAGTATTTATATCTCCAAGACAATATATGAACATGTGTGTGTGTATACATAAAAACACCCACTATGGATAGGATTTAAAATCAATACACAATTTATATGACTACAGTTAAACATGGTCATTTAAAATTAGAATTTAAGTCTGTGGACTAAGTATGCAATCCATACAAGTTAATACCACTGAAATTTTGTTTTCATACAAGGAGAAAATTATTACTTACTGTAAATGGTTTGCAAAAAATAAAAGTACCAGAAAAAAAAAAAAAAAAAATTACTTGCAAAACTTCCCAATCAAAAAAAGTTGCTTAAAGGAGTGTTAAAGTTATTCTGGCAGACTATTTGTTAAGGAACCAAAGTTTGAAAAAAAAAAAAAAAAAAATTATCCAGCACACCAGTTTCAGAATTAACTCTTTCACTAACCAGCATCATAATTCTGACCTCATAGAATAGACTATTTTCAGATTTGTCTTATCAATGAAATATATAAAGAAAAAAAAAAGACAGCTTACCAAATATGGCTGACAACATTGTCTGCTGCTCTGTTTAAACGTATTGAGTGTATAATACAAAATGAGGTACTGTCTATTGTTACTTGATGAAATTACACCAAAATGGTAGGTAATTTCCTTGGCATGGTCGGAGACACTTTTTAAAGAAAAAGAAAATTGTGCAACAAACATGGCATGGTTGAGTATACCACTAAAATTACTGAACAAGGCCTTTTCCAGGATAAAAAAATCTTACAAACACAACTTGTTAGTTATTAAATTTTTCTAGCAACTTCATTAAAGTTGATAGCACAGATGAGAAGGAAAATACTTTTTATCCCATTTCAATCATTTTTTTCCTTCTGACAAAATAGCCACATCAATAAAGTAGAGATTTCAAGCTAGCTATTAAAAAAAATTAAATAAATGATATATTGTGGGGATACGTTAAGATATTGGAAATTATGAAAATTTAAAGATTTATTGCGCATTTACAATTAAGCATGTCATTAATTATCTATTCTATTTGTGCATTATATGCATTGTTTAACATAATCAGTAGCATTTATCCACCAATGTGATAATAGTAATTAATACAGAATTGACTAACTCATATACTTACTCATTTTTTTGTATCTATTAAAACACCCTGTCAATGGGATAGAAAACAAGATTGAATTTTGTTTTTCCTAGTGAAATGTAAAAATTATACGAGCAGTAGTCTTAAAGCAGTTAGTCAAGTGACATTTGGTTATTATAGCAGAATTGTACTATGTTGGTCAATTCATTTTCTTATCTTTGCAGGTTATTTAGGGCCAGAAGATATTTTTAGATCGGAAGATTTTTTTTTTTTTTTAAGACAAAAATGGTTTAATGATACAAGTAACCCATAGATGGGGGGGGGAGAAGTGGATTTATATCTTTCCCAATGGTATTTGTATGTAAGTGAATGTAATGAACCCAATGAGAATTGGAACTCAGCTCTCCAATTAACAATTTTGAACCATTGTCCATTACACCACCCACACATCCAAGCTTACAGCACTTTGTATTTCCAAGCAGTCACCCATCTAGGTATTGACCAAGCTCGACATTGTTGAACCAGTGATCATACAGGAACCAATCCTGTGCTGAATTAGATGTTCATTGTATCATGCTACTTTGTTCCTGTAGAATCAATGTTCTGATATGAAACATCATATTTTCTGGCTTACAAGACACTTTTTCATGAAAAATACATGTGCATCTTCCAAGATGAACGTAAGACAACACCCAGGCTCAAGTAAGCTTGGACAGTCACCTAATTGGCTTGACTGATAGGGGTATGGATTTGTATGTTGAGTCATTACACTATAATGTTAGCTATCTAATTCAGCCTTTTATATAATGCAACCTCAGTATTTAGCTGTTACAAGTATTTCCAAGACTATAAACCTTCTTGGAGTTGAGCCACAAGCTTAAACATCCTCTGCTTACTAGCAGCAGTGGGAGTCTTTCTGCTCTTAACTAGTATGTCATTGCCATATAAACAAAACCGGACAAGTGATTAATGTGAACAATATGTGGCACAAGTATGGTGAATGAGAATGACTTTTTCTTAGAAATTTCTTTCCAATATTAGGGTTCATCTTCCAAGCTGCCACGTCTTGTAAGCCAGAAAATATGGTAATCAAAAAGCAGTACAAATCTACCATGATAACAAAATGTTGAAACTATCTGACCTTGCATATAAAAAAAAAAAAAAAAACACCACTGATGTCCTATAGTGGTATTACTGGATACAGGTGGTGGTTATACATGTGTTACTATCATCTAATGGTTACGAGTTCAATCCATGGATCAGGTAGTGAAACACTAGTTCAACAGAAATGAACAGTAACTGTCTTCACAGGAGCAAAATAAAATAATTAGCAGATATAAAACAATGAATACCTGATGATTGCCAAAGAATACTTGGCTGAAATGTATCTATAATTACATTTATATCAAGCAAAATGATAACTATAATATATTAATTTCTTAATTGACTATAGCTAAAATAACAAAGGGGGGGTCAGAATTATGTCCCCTAGGTTAACACCCACCCAATGATTTACCTAAGAATCTATAAGAAAAATTGAAGAGAAGTATTTAATTTTATCAATTTAACCAATTAATGAGTTATAGGTAATTATATATGTGGCATCCGTTGGCATCAAGAGACCCCCTGGATCTGTGCCCCAAAAGTTATGCCTTAGCTACTGATGGCAGCACAGCAGTTGTTATGGCTGTTCAGGCCTACACAGGAGTGAGTCTCAACTGTAACCAATGCATGTGAAGACACTTTCCCGCCGATGACACTGTTTTCTTTCCTTCAAGCATGCTTCATTCCAGCGGCAAACCTCTGTTTCTTCTCTACTCACTCTAGCCCTCAGTGTAAATCCCATTTCCAGTGTAAGTGATCATCCCCATGTCCATTGTCCTCATGTCACTTTTGCAGATGTTCTTGAAGCAAAAATGAGGTCTCCCTCATGTCAGAACATAATATCAGACTGTCTTAGGGACTCCAGCTCCAGATTTGTCCAGAGTTTACTCCTAATGTCTTTTCCATGATTGGGTATGCAGCAGAGATTTAAATTCAGAGTTTTCCTTCTCTTACCCTCCCAGGATGACTAGTTTCATCTACACAATCACACATTATATATATATATATATATTATAATGTGATTTTAATAATGTTATATATATATATATATATATATATATATATATATATATATATGATTATTTATTTAAAAATTATAACAAATGTTATATATATATATATATATATATATATAATTATTTAAAAATTATAACATAAATGTTATATATATATTATATTATTATGTCATTATAATAGAAGAAATACGAGGGAAAATTTCACGGTTTTCCTATTTGAATAGGTAATTAATTAATATATAATACTCTACTTTTATCTTTAATTTTTACAATTTTTTTTTTGTAAGAATTAATGGGTTTAAAATGATAAATTTACACTATAAGGTACTTATCAGATACAATGCATTAAAAACTAACAAAACTCCAATTTCAGACATTTCTCATTAATGCTCGAATCCTAAGACGATACATCATCTAACAAATACTCAGAAACAATTTCATACTTCAGAAATATTCTTCTTTTGCCTCCACAAAAAAAAGTAATACTGGAGATCTGAATGTTTTTACTTGTAATTTACTTGTCCAAATAATGGCTTAAACAATCATGGTTTACAAATGACAGAATGAGTGATGGACTGGCAACATTATTTTACGTGAGCTTTATTGATGATGAAGTAATTTGCTTTTTCAAACCTGAACGACAACAATGAGAAAAAGTAACAAATTGAGGATTAAAAGTAACAGCACAAGCGGCCGGAGATATATTGATGGATGAATAACACAAGGACTGATTAATTGTTAAATAGGAATGGTTCTTGGCTGGGTAATTAAGTCTGCTAAGATGGACAAAAAGGAAAAATTAAAAGAGAAATAAATAGTGAGGGGTTGAGAAAGAGAGAAGACTATTAATATTATAAGGCATAGGGTTATCCAGAATCAGGTTGAATTTGAGAGAGAGGATTAGAGGAAAGGAGGATAGAACAAGAGAGAGAGAGAGGAAGAGGGGGGGTGGAGGAAGAGGAGGGGGTAGGGTGGAGGAAGAGGAGAGGGGGTGGGGCGAGAGGAGGGGGTGGAAGAGGAGAGGAGGGGAGGGGGAGCAAGAGGAGGAGGGAGGGGCGCAAGAGGAGGGGTGGGGCGAAGAGGAGGGGTGGGCGAGAGGAGGGGTGGGCGGGAGAGGTGGAAGAGAGGGGAGCAAAGAGGAGTGGGGCGAACAAGAGGAGGAGGGAGGGGCGCAAGAGGAGGGGGTGGGCAAGAGGAGGGGGGGCGCAAGAGGAGGAGGAAGAGGAGAGGCGCAAGAGAGGAGGAGGAAGAGGAGAGGCGCAAGAGAGGAGGAGGAAGAGGAGAGGCGCAAGAGAGGAGGAGGAAGAGGAGAGGCGCAAGAGAGGAGGAGGAAGAGGTGAGGCGCAAGAGAGGAGGAGGAAGAGGTGAGGCGCAAGAGAGGAGGAGGAAGAGGAGATTTGGTGAGGCGCAAGAGAGGAAAAAGGGAGAGTTAAATTCAAGAATGAGTGGATGTGGGAGTAGAAAAGAAAATTAAAGTAATGCATATAAAAACAAAACTTTTTTTATAATTGAGAAACGGAAATTGTATCCTTGTAGGAGAGAAATGAATGTCTAAAAACATAGAAGGTATGATAACAAGTGTTAGGAGGTATTTAGAACTTCATATTAGAGTATCTTAATGAGAGATAAGAACATGAGAGTGCGAGAGGCAGCGACGCGTTCTGTGCGAGAGGCAGCAACGCGTTTGTGTGAGTGCGAGAGATGCGCGGCAATGTGTTTGTGTGAGTGAGAGAGAGGTGCGGCAACGCGTTTGTGTGAGTGAGAGAGAGGATTTTCTTAAGAGTGACAAGAGGAGATGCTTTAGAAATAATTTATATTGACATGTGTTGAGAATTTCCTCTGAAATAAGTTTCCTTAATAGCCACTTAATAATATTCAGACTACTTTTTCTTTAAAGATTTTGGCCAAAAGATTAACAGGGAAACACTTTAGAATGTCTCGTTCCTCTCTCTGTTACTCATGTTTGCATTAATACCTGATTATTGACAATTCTTTTCTTTGGGATTTTCATTGCATTTATACCGTATAAGTTGATTCTGCTAATGTTCACATTAATTCCTGATCACTGACAATTCTTTTCTTTCTTATTTGCAATGCTTAATCAAATTAGCAATGCATTCATATTATGCATCCAAGTCATACTACCTGCCAGTAATGCTTGCATTAATTCCTGATAACTGACCAACCCATTTTTTGTTTTACCTTATTGTCAATGAATGTTAACAAAATGTTATTTATTAGCAGTCCATTGACATTATACATATAGATATATTTCATTAAATTTTCACAAACATCCTTTTTTCCTAAGTATTAATAGACACTATACAAATTAATTCATTAATAGCCACTGTGAAATCTTGATATTAATTGTAACAATTAAAATAAAACATTGCTATTAATGGTATGTTTAAGAAAAAAAAAAAATCTGGTATAAATTATAAGGTTTCTACCTATGACCGATTAATACACATCACATTTTTGGAAGGTGGCTAACATTTTAGGTACAAAATTCTAACATTATTTATCAAATTCAACATGAATGTGGTGATTTTTAATTGATATTTCAATTTTTCTCTATGTGGACACTCTAAAAGGACAATGAAAATTTTGACATCTACTTAGTATATAGATGCTTTTAGCAGTTATGTACCTGTATTCAAATGAATCAGTTTTGGTATATTTAAGAAATCCTACCTATGATAACACAAATATATAATATTTTATACATATCAAATTCAAATGGACTTCCAACTTTATTAAAATTAAATAATCCTTTACACATGCTTGTGAACTGTATAGATAACAATGAGCTGATGCTTTGCCTGTAATGAATTAAAGTATAAGCAAGAGTACTTTTCAGATTATATATATATATATATATATATATATATATATATATATATACACACACACACACACATACAAAGTTGCTACCCAAAAGTTACAGGAATTTAAGGCATGAAAAGGTTTCATTTGGAAAGAAAAAAAATTTTTTCCTCAGAGATTAATTTCATGAGATGTGGGAAACATTTAGAAAGACATTGGAAGCAGTGTGTAATTTGATAAATGAACCAATTGATCAAGCTATTCAAACTCTCTAAACATTTTAGTAGTGCACTGTATCCCCTCCCTCCTTATATATATATATATATATATATATATATATATATATATATATATATACTTGTAAAAAATAGAATACGTGGATTTAACACATCACAAGAAATATTTAAATAAAATTCTCACTTAAAAAATTTTGAAAAACTTAGCGTTGCGTCTTTGCATGTTCCGAGATCTTACACAACCGTCAATAATAGCAGATATTCAAAAAACATCTTTCGGTCGACATACAGGTATATCGTCTCAAGTTTTTGATTTCATAAGGAAAAAAAAACACATGCCTGATGATGGATAGAAGACTATTCGTAAGTACTAGCATTTTAACATCAAATAAACTGAAAAAACTACAGACAACAAGTTTTTCGACAAGGATCAAAACTTCGCACTATGGATGAACAGGATTTTAATGCATATATTATGTTTTCTAGCGATGGATGTCGCCAATAATCGCATTAATACTTATGATTAATTCTATGTGTGATTATTTCTCATATATATATATATATATATATATATATATATATATATATAAAAAAGAGAGAGATATGTGTGTGTGTGTGCGCATATTTTTTAATCATTTCACTCCAAGCAAGGAAATGTATCCACTAAAACTAGATGTTACAGAGTGTGAAAGAATAAAGAAAGACATTATTAAAGAGAGAAAGAAAAAAAAAAGAATCAAAAGGACAGTAAATAATGATTGACATTGCATTTAAATTTTGGAAGATCAGACTTGCCTGAAGAAGCCAGAAGAGAAGTCCACAAGCAAGAAGAGTGAGAAAAAACCTGTTAGCAAAGAACTTATGGTTACATCTAGGCAATTCAACTGTAAAATGATGAAACTTTGCTGCTAATCTAGTACTGCACTTAAATTTATAAAGCTTAGATACCATAGAGGTAAGTTCATTAGAACAATTACCATGAAAGAATTTAGAGAAAAGGCATAAGGAAGTATATTACATCTGTGGAAAAAAGAAAAACTAGGATGACAGGTCAGGATCAATAATATTGCTGTTTCTTCTTTAGATTTTATGAAGAATTTCTAAAGAGCACCAGACCATATGTGGCAGCAATATTCAAAATATGGCTGAATGGTAGACTTATAAATATTGATGTTGGAATAAGTTATTGTCAGCAATAATGAGAGAGTTGTCAACAGCATGTGTATCTGGTATAAGTTACAAAACGCCAGAACATTTTGCAAACCAGAACACCAACAATGATTAGTAGCCAAGCTAACCTGATCCAACAAAAATATCTTTGCATAATAATTTAGCACACACTGTTTTCAGCCTGACCAAGAAATCTTTTAGATTCTTTTGAAAGTGCCAGCTTTCAGCATAACATTATGTAGTTTAAAATTTGGTATATTTACAAGAGAAGAGTGATCAATGTCAGTGATAGAACATTTATAGATATAAGCAATATGGACATAGGTATCAACAATGCATGGTGACTGTCAACTACATGCTTCAGTTCTGAAGATTACATTGAAACAAAACTGACAGTCATCATGCAATATTGATTCCCAGGTCCATATTGTCTATATATTATGTAACCCATCACCAATCTATTTTTCACTGTTTAGTCTGTTGATGGAGAAAATATTTCATGTTCTTTCCGCTAAAATACAATATGCTACCCAAACATCTGTAGAATGTAAAGCACAAACTGGCTTCCTTAAAAGAAAGAAAATGCTAGAAAACAAGGCTCTTTAATTCCTGACAGAATGATACTAAGAGAAATGAAATGACCAACAAGATAAGCAAGCTAACAGATTTAAGCACGTTAATATTTTGCGGTAGCGTCTAATTCAAACCAAGAGATCAACAAGACTCATTGAATGTCAATTCCAAAACCCAATCTTTAGCACACTCTACACTTTGATGCTGCAGTGAGTATAGAAGATTATTTACCACAATGCTCTATTTAAAGAGAATTACAGAACAGCATTATGATACATTAAAGTTAATAACCCTAAATTTAACATAACAGTGAGCAAGTCTTAAACAATTATCGAGGAAAAGTTTTATTATGGAATAAAGTTCAAATGACACAGTTATAAACAGTGCTTTTCTAAGCTTTGAATTAGTGTTTGTAAAGTTTTTGAAAGAGTCCAAACACTCTCAGATTATGTTAAAAAGTCAAGGTTATGACAGCTTGTCTTCAAAAAAGGCAAATGAAGAACTATCATTGTCCTCTAGGTTACAGTAATGACAAACATGTCAGCTCTTGCATAAAAGAAAACCTTATATATATATATATATATATATATATATATATATATATATATATATATATATATATATAATCCATTTAAAAATTACTATTGTTTACATTTAAAATATGAAAAATGAAAGCTAACTTTATAGAAGTCCCAGTGAAAGCTGTGCATTTCTTAAATAGGTAAATTGAACTTTTGCTCAATCAAGATGGCCTCCTGTGGCCAAATTGGTAATGGCACACTTCAATTATAAGAGTGTTTTCCTTGATGGAAAAAGAGATACAAGTTCGATTCCTATCAGGAGGCATATGTTTTTATTAGAACTTTCCAATCAAGGTCAGATGTTATTAAATTTCATTGTCTAAAAAAAAAAAAAAAAAAAAAAAAGAAAAAACAAGGATATCAACTTTCGAACACATGTATCCACTAAAAATAACATTTATGATAATTTGAAATACTTTTTAAAGGAAAAGAAATTATATATATATATATATATATATATATATATCTCACAGAGTTAATCTGTAGAAAAAGCAATATGTATAAAGGTAAAAAAACAATAGCAAAACTTTTCCCCCCAGTCACCTTTCCTAACAGAATTACTACTCTCCCAAGTAAACATACACAACTGTATCAAGAAATCAAAAGAAAATGGTTGAATCAGTCAACACAACAATAAAAACAATATTTCCACACGACAGTACTTGACATAAATTTTCAGTTGACAATATGAATACAATAGTGTTTTCTAAATTCTTCTAGTTGCTAAGGACATTTTATTTTGTTGTTAATAGTTACTTTGTTTTTCATACATTCATTTCATTTTTGCTTTGAAAAAGTCCGACTAATAATACAGTTTTCCTATTGTCATATATATCATAAATGTGAATGCCACACTACTTCTAGAGGCCGTAGCCCAACATATACCATTTTGGAATCAGGCAGACTTTGTGAGAGAATTAAAAACATTTTGGGCCGAATCCAGACCCGCAATCCTAAAATTTTGGATTTACAAGTTTTCATTACTGCGATCATTTTTGGTAAAAAATTTTTTTGTATGAGAATTTTTATAACATGGAAATAAATTTGGGAATAATCAAAATTATGAAATCCAGAGAAAGTCACTTGTTTCTATGGTAAGTAAGGACCTATGGACATATTGTCTTTAAATTAAGTGGCGGCAAAAGAATTATTGTTGATCTTTTAAAAGATATGCTTAAATATTAATGCAATACTTAAATGCAGCGATCAATTTTGAGTTTTGTAGTTTATTGTTTCCTATTCCATCTACCCCTCCCTACCTATTGTGACGAAGGCCCAATCAAGAGCTCTCTGCAAGATCTAGTTTAAATGCCACCCAGTAAGGCAGCTTTTAAGCTAGTGTGTGTGTGTGTGTATATATATATATATATATATATATATAAGCAAATA